TTAAATTAAGTAATAACTTTTATGCGTCTTGACCTGCGGGCGACACACACACACACATTAACATACACTTAGACTTTGTATTAGCTCGTTGACATTTTCTTGGCGGAATGTTGCCTTTGTGCTTAAAAGGTTATGTGCGTGTGTGCGAGTGTGTGTGACGCACAAGCAGATTTTCTTGTTTAACTTATATAACAACAGCACTAATGTTGCCAAGAGGCTGGGTCAAGGGTTGTGGCATTTTAGGGTTAATATTCGCAGCTCATTCGCTGTGAGTCCAAAGGTTAATGTGATTAATGTTTACTCTAATGAAATGAAGTTCTCAAGTTGATTTTATCAATTTATGCCTCAGACAAAAGAACCACTCTCCCATTTTCTCTCCCTCTCTAATGCTCTTGGGCGTGACGAAGGTGCCATCTGGGTGCGAATTGACTAGCCAAAATAACTCCAAATGCAAATAGCCAAGTGGTTTTGGGCCTGAATTGATTTGGTTATATGTTGTTGCCTTGATGGGCATATTAGTTAAACGAGTTAGACAAGAGGTCTCCGTTCGAGTGTGGCCCAAGTAAATATTTGTAGTATTTTAAAGCGTGAATGCTAACCAAGACGAGCTGCTTTTGGCCACTTGTTTTTGCTGCTGTGGTTTCTGCAATCAGACGCCCGGGCAAAGGAATTTAATAAAAAGCAGTTCAATTAAACGTTCTTCAGTTGGCTCTTCTTTCGTCCTTTCGTTAATCAATGCGTTTAACGTTTTCAATCAGCCAACTGCCAAAAGGCTGCAGACAGCGGCGGGCGCTGCTTGGGCAAATTGCGGGCCAGGGGAGGCGGTTGGGATTTGGGTGCTCTGGTTGCGAGGCAGCTTGAAATTCAGTTAAGCATTTCACTTATTTGCATATAAATTGATTAAAAAGAAAATACATGCAAGGCATTCACATACAAACAAGCACATACATACTACACACGCACACACACAGGCACACATATTCGAGCATTCGCATGTGTCAACGCAGCAGCAAAGGACGAAAGGGTCCTCTTGGCAGTTTCACTGTCTTTGCCTCTGCATCTCTCTCTCTCTCTCTCTCGCCCTCGCTCCGTCTCTCTCTTCTTTAGCCACGCTGCGTCTTTGTCTGTCTTTCTGTTGTCGTTGCCTCGTTTTCGGCAATTTCTGACACTTCAAATGCGTATGATTATTTCCTTTTGATCAGCGAATTGTGAATTGATTCACTGATTGAGTTCAGGTTCAGTTGATGCGACGACAATGTCAACACGCTCAAAAGGACACGTCACATTTGCCTGCCGGACTAAAAGCTTTTCACATGGACTAAGGGCTTACACTTACACAGAGACACACCTATGCAGCTTACCGAGAGCTGGGATTGAATGCTTTACAGATTCTCAGTAATCCTGCTGCCCTCAGAGTTCCAAATGATCCGCTTTTTGTTTTAAGTTTTGGGTATTTAAATTTGGCGTTTTGGAAAACTTGAAACTACCTTTAAATATGCATGTGCAGGCAACCTATTAGCAAAATATGAAAATAAAAGAAATTGGACAAACTGGACTCTTTGTACATATTCTGGATATTTTAAGTGGCTAGACAAAGTCACTTCTTCCACTATGTGTTAACTATAAATACTTGTTGGAAGCATTATATCATTTATTATTGTTCCTGATACTGGTATAGAAAATAGTTAGACAATTTTAAAGACACACAAGACTGGGATTCAAAGCTGTTTTGCGATTCTTTACCTGCCAGAAGTCTAAGTCCCTTAAAATTGCCCATTTTTACTTGTTTTAAATAAGTTTATTCTTGAGGTTATAAGAGTGTCTGAATCTGACTGAATATTTTTTATACGAATTGTCTTTTGTTATACGTATTAATAAACGTTTGCTATCATATTCATATCATCTATAGAGTCTTATATTTGATCAACAATCAGAAGAAAACAAATAGGCTAAAGCCCGATTTCTAAATTTAAAAAAATATATACTTCTATTTATAAGAGTGCATAACTATAGGGAATTTAAGAACTGATTACTGAAATTCTTTTACTAAAACTATCTTAAAATCTTTATTAATATTTATATCTTAACTAAAAGAACAAATATTTGTGATTTATAATTGTATTTAACGCTAACATGCGAGATGTTTCATAATAATAAGACAATGGAAGGAAAATTTGCTAAAAGGGTATCCCTTAGCCAAGAGACTACTAGACTAGACCATTCTTGCAATACAAACATTTAGAAGAGATTTTCTGTATTTAATTTTATTGATTGTCGTAATTAAATAGTTGTGACAATATTTCGAGTCGGTCATTGGCCGCATTTTGTGTTGTGGCCTGTTGCCTGGTTGCTTCAACCTGCTCCAAATATGAGCCAAGGGCCAATTGCCAAGGTTTTGGGCTCAGTTTGCTTTCAAATTGCGGTCAGTCATGTTCTTTGAGGCCGTGCGCAAGTCGAGCTGGCGACGCAGACACAAGGTGAAACTAATTGGCCAGCTAAATAATTTATTAACAGTGTGCTATTATAATACACACACTCGCGTGTCTCATAGTCCAACGGATAATCATTATGGACGTTTTATTTTAGCAGATTGTTATCAGCGAAACCTACTTTTCAGTTCAGTCTCTAAACATTAATTAGAGCAACTACATGACATTGCACTAGACTCACCTGCAGCACTGCACCATTGCACCTCTGCTCCATTGTCAGCTTAATGGTCAAAGGACATGCCAGTGCACTCCAATCCGCCATTCAATTAACCAGTTGCACGCACACACCCCGCACACACACACAGACACATACACACACAAAGCACCCTAGAGGACCTGCAATGGCATGTAATTTGGCAAATGACTTTGCGCTCTGATATTTGATTAGACGCACAAAATATAATAACACCGTCAGTCCAATAAAAACGACGGTCAAATGCAATAACAATTACATGTTTTTATATTGCTAAAATACATTAAAAAACATCATTGGTTTTATTTTCTAAAAAAAATTGGAAGCTGCAAAAAGATTTCAGTGAAGTGAATTCCAAGAAAAGCACTTCGATGAGATCCAAAAGTAATATTAAACAAGTAAGAGGTTTTAGTCGGGAGCTCCCGACTAAGCGATATCCTGAACCCTGGCCTGCCAACATCAAATGCATATATATATTCTATTTTAGAAGCTATATGTCAAGTTTGGTGACTTTAGCTCTTATTATTTACCAAAATTGCTCAAAAACAGGATATCGATATGGATATTTATCGATTGCTTGGAAATTGAGTAAGTTATCGATAATCGGAAAAAAACTCGATCTGTGCAGGCACTAGGAGCACTTACATCTAGCTCTTATAGGTTCTTGCGTTCATACATACGAACGGACGGACGGACAGACGGACAGACGGACATGGCTAGATCGACTCGGCTATTGATGCTGATCGAGAATATATATACTTTATGGGGTCGGGGTCGGAGATGCTTCCTTCTGCCTGTTACATACATTTGGATTTTGCACAAATACAATATACCCTTATACCCATTTTTAATGGGTTCAGGGTATAAAAAGTTCTGTGCTATCATTTCGCTTAATTCCGCGAAATTTGTTATACCAGTTTCTTATCCAAGTCAAACATAATTGTGGACCAGCATTTGATATTCCTATCTTATCATGTCGCGATATGCGATTGTGACTAGATAAAATCAATCTGGGAAACAGCAAACAGCTGCGTGCAGCCGAACAGTGAATGCCCTATAGACAAAGTTTCCATATAACATTTACTTAAACGCAATTTTATAAGAACTGTGGGCTTAAAGTTAAATTAAACAAACCTGTTTGGCTACATATGTTATATAGAACTTGCTAAATATAAATAAAGCACTTAACAAATAACCCATATATAATGGGATAACTTAGCTTTATTCTCTATTTTGACCTATCGATTTTTTTGCATTAAATATTACATAAAATTGCCGAATTTCTGAATAAAATTACTTTTAAATGGCATAAAATATCAAGTATTTGATGAGATTGGTTAAAATTTATTTAAAGCTTAAAAACTTGAAGATACTTTGAACAACTTTTTCAAATAGCTTACAAAAGTTTTAAAATAGTTTACAAAATAATTCTATTAAATATTATTATTTGTCTTATGATATTTTTAGCAGGCTTTTGCTTTTTTTATAAATTTGCCTGCTTGTGAAAAAGGTTTTATTAAAACTTCCCATTTTTATTGAATGCAAAGAGTTAGACATAGTAATAGATCAGTTTGAGTAGCAGTATTATATATATAAACCTAAACTTTTAGTTCTTTATAAAATCCCAAACATTGCCTGCCCGACTAATGATAGCCTATGCGAGTGCTTAAAAACTTATTGCAGCCTTTTTGAAATCGCGTTTTGGCTGCATATGTGATTGCATACACTTAGGTGTTGTTCTTTATACCCTGTTATTTTTTCACTGTTTGCTTGTTTCGGTTATCTACAACAATTTATCAGCTGAGGGAGGTGTTGTATTCATTTGTGTTTCTCTTGTTCAGCCTCGTCACATGTTTGTCCCGGGCAAACATTTGCCAGAGCAGGGCACAATATTAACTACCTGACGAGGCGAAGCCCGCAACTTTAATTGAAATAAAATGTTTTCCAGAACAGGTATCCACAGCAAGAGCGAGTGAGAGGGAGCGAGTGTGTTAGGGGGCCAGGCGTGTGAGCGAGAGAGTGCATGCAATTGGCCAAATGTATGAATCAGTCAGACTGGGCCACTGTCTATTGCGGCCCACTGTCTGCTCTACATGACTATAAATGTTTGTAAGCAAGTAACTAGTTCTGAGCCCCACAGTCCACATTTCATTCATTCCACTCGCTCGCCCGCTCGCTCTTCTCACTTTCAGAGTCTCTCTCTCACCTTTTGTCTCTCTCTGCTCGCTACGGGCGCTTAGCTGCTTATTCATTGCCGCCGCTTTAGTTTTTTATTTATTTTTTTGTTTCGCATTCAGTTTGCATTTCAAAGCCGCTAAAGTAACAAGTATCTTGGAGCTATCCATTCGCTTGAAGAAAAACTTGCTGGGAAAAGGCAAATTTTTGTAAACACTCGCTGAAAATAAGTGAAAACAGCTATAGAAAACTTGCGGCTGCAATGGATGTAAGTTGCTTTTCATTTTATTTGTGAATTTTTCCATCTTCCCTTTATTTTTATTTTTTCCTATTTTGTGTGTGGGCTGCATTTGTGTGGCTAAGCTCAGCCGCACGACCTTCACCTTGGGCTTCAATTAAACAAATTGCACTGCAAGTGCTTTCACAGAAATGAAAACAATTTTGTTGAAAGCAGCAGCAAGAGTTAAATCCGACGAACAGCACCAGATCAGCTGAGGCTGTTCGATGATTCATGCGAGAGTGCGTCACGTTTTTCGCCCTTATTCCAGACCACACTTCCCACTTCTAAGTCCCTACTCCCCACTCCTGATAAACCGCACTTTACTCCTGTTGATCTTTGTTAAAAAATTGTATTTATACATTCACTTTAATTATGAAAACGCGTTGGATTTCCGATTAGTCATTTACTTATTGGGCTGAAAACGCTGAAATATTATACGGGCTTCACGAGTGAGATTTATTTATGATTTGGCGCAAAAAATATAAACAGTAAACTCTTGATGGGGCTGTTAATTACCCAAACTTAGCAACACCTAACCAAGGTAACTTTTAAGCCATTAAGTGTTACACAAAAAAAACTATATAAAAGCTGCTACGAGACATTAAAAGCTGGTAAACTGTAAGATATCTTTCTAAAATATATTAACAATATTTTTTTCTAATTGTTTTTATTTATGTAAATTATATGTGTAACGCACACAAAGAGAAATCTTTGTTCCCGTCTTTCTGTGTCTATATAGACTAGTCTTTCATTTGTGTTTTCTCTGCAGTAAGTACACATGTAAGAAGTGACCCGATCGGATCACTATTTCATATAACTGTCATATGCCCGTCGTAAGGAAATTCAGTTTCTTCAAGAAAAACTTATTTATTTTACAATATCCTACTATAGATCCCATCATCGATCTTTCCTACAGCAGTCATATGATATTGTGTTCCGCTGTTGATAAGATTCTGCATACATGAAGAGGGTAATAGTAAGTATGTTAGTATGGTATAGTAAGACTTAAACCTGCCGAGTTTGGGTAAGATGTATTGATAAACATAGAAAACTCTACTTATGGACCGATCGTTCTTATGGCAGCTATAAGATATAATGGTCACATCCAGTCGGTTCCGACATATGCACTTCCGAAAACATAAAGTCTGACTTATACAAGGTTTTAAGAGATAGCGTATAGAAAAAGACAGATGAACAAATGGACAGATGGATGGATTCATTATAGTATAAGCTTGTATAGTTAAAGCTTGTCAAATACGAGTTTTATCATGTTTCTTACATGAGAGTAGAGTCGATCCAAATCTTTTCTTTCTTTAACAATATCATAACCAAAAACAATTATTATTAGTTTTACATTTCTCCTCTTCAAGGCTATTTTCGGTGTGTCGAATAATGCGAAATTTGTTGAATTTATTACATTTACATTATTGTAAATTATCAACCCTTATTATCATAATTAATAATCGAACTCGGTCGCCTGTTTTAAATTTTTAATTCAAGCACAATAAATCAAAGGCGACTCAATTTTGTTGCACAGTGCTATTGCAAATATGTGAATGGTTAAAATATTGATTGGTCTACTTTGCTTACAGCCCTCAAATGGAGACCTGTACACGCTGGAAGCCAATTTAGCTAACAAATCGCTAAGGGAACTGACAGATGGCGCCGACAAGGATCCCATTACCAAGTTGCGTTTGCTATGCTTCAGCCGCGGCGCAACAGGCATTTTGGGCCTGGGCAGGTGAGTTTTTATTGAGGAGCTTGGAGAATTATACAACCACCTGCTTAATGTTCAATTATTTAATTAGGGCATTTCGCGCCATGGACGATGATGGCAGCAAGGCGCTGAACGAGGAGGAGTTCATCACGGGCATTCGGGACATTGGCCTGGATGTGACAGATGATGAGATCAGGCAGATGTTTAATACGTAAGTTCCAGCCAATCAGCTGAAATGGGCTGCCAAACTTATGTCTTCATTTAAAATTAGCTTCGACGAAGATGGCAGCGGTTCCATAAACATGACGGAGTTTTTGCTTAAGTTGCGAGTAAGTTTTCACCTATCAAATCAAAAGAAATAAATAAATCGTTGAAGTTGAAAAGTTAAAAGCAAACACTTTGTTGACAGCCGCCGATGTCGCAGTGTCGCATATCCATAATCGATCAGGCATTCGATAAAATGGACAAGGACGATGATGGTGTTATAACCATAGCCGATCTGAAGAATGTCTATTCGGTAAAAGAGCATCCCAAGTACCAAAGCGGCGAGATGAGCGAGGATGAGATTTTAACCCAGTTCTTGCACAACTTTGAGGGTGGACGTGGCAATCTGGATGGCAAGGTGGGTGTTCGAATATCTATTCAAACTCTTTCAGTCTTTAACTATATAACACTTACAGATTACACGCGAGGAGTTTATCAACTATTATGCCACAATCAGCGCCTCGATTGACAACGATATGTACTTCGATCTGATGATGAGACGCGCCTATGCCATGTAAAGGAGTCCTCCGAGTACGGGTTCAATATATAATTCTCAACCTCGAGTATCTAACTATTAAAACAAACTAGTCTTTAGTCCTATTCATGTCTAATTTATACACACACCACGCATGTTTCATTCCAATAAAAAAAAGTGTTTTTCCTTGCAGCCCACAACTGATACCCGGCAGAGTCAAAACTCTTTGTTAGATATGTAAAGTAACAAGTGAAAAGTTTTGTCTAAACATTTGTTGCTAGTTCTACAAGCATTTAAGCACGGGCTGTGTCTGGGGTTGGATCTAGGCTGGGTCTCAGTCTGGGTCTGGGTCGGAGCCATAATCAAGCGGCTGCTGCCGGAGCCAAATCCAAGACGGCAATCATTGCAACAAGCATGGAATGCTCTGAAAATTGTTGGTGAACTGTCAGCAGTTTTGTATGTGTGTGTGCGTATGGTGTGGTGTCGTATGGTGCGGTGTAGTGTGTGTGCTTGCTGGTGTGCCAGGCATTTATCACACAGTTGTTACAGCAGGCGCTGAGGATGGTTTGAGCAGTCTAGCGATGGCAGCCTAAATGTATGCCTTAAATTATGCAGACACCAGCTGAGATTGTCGTGTATGTGTGCGCATGTGTAAGTGTTTGTGTGTGAGTGCGTGTGAGTGCGTGTGTGTGTGTGTGTACGTGGTGCTGGGAACTTGTGCACTGATTGCAAGCAACTCATACGAAATTTTAATTGCCAATGTTGAAATTACGCAGCCACTGAAGAAGGCCATCCCAGCCCAACGCGCTTAGCCGCCTCCTCTAGCCAACCATAAAAACTCTCGTCTGAGACAAACTGAGATACTTGGCTAACAAGCTCGCTGCAATCGTCTTCACTGTAAATCAGAAAGTTACAAGTTTATTGCCTGATTTCATTAAATTTTATTTACAGCCTGCAACATTTGCATACAGTGCCACATTTGGGGCCTTTTCCTTTGCTTGTTCAACTACTTTTTTATTTAACTTTAACTTTAACTGCAAGTTAAAATTTATCAGCTTGTTTGCCATGTAAATTATGCTGCTTATGTTTGGGCAAAGTAAAAAGAAAATGCAAAAGAAAGAAAATGTTGCATCTGGCATTTATTCGGCATGATGTTGTTATTGTTGCTGTTGAAGCTGTCCACATAAAACCAATTTCAATTAATTGCCTGCCACATGAGGCTCGTCGCTTGCGTCGAGTTGTTTTATGCACTTAAAACTCTTGAAAATGCCTTTTATTGGCTTTCAGTTTTCACACTTGGCTGAGTGAAGTGCCTGCCAAAATTTGTGTATTTGCCAAGGCAAAAACATTTCCTGTATCACTCACACACACACACACACACAACTGATGTGCATTGTTGCACTGAAATATTTGTGTAATTTATGTATTGGAAGAAAATTTTATATTTGCCCGAACTGTCATTATCTAAGCTAAGCCTTTTAGATTTGATTGCAATTTGATTTTCACAAAAAATGGGAAAAATAAAATGAAACATAACTCTTTTCATTAGGTCAACAAATTGCTATTTGACGACTTGATTTGTTTTTGCTCAAATCTCTTTGTCTTTTTGGTATGTTTCTATGTGCTTGCAAGGACTAGACAGACTATATTTCAAGCACATATTGTATATAAATGATGGCAGCAGAGTATAATTTTTGGTGTCTTTCTGCTAGTTTATATCATGAAATATATATACGGTTCGACCCGCAATACCACCTGAAATTTTATATAAAATATATATATATATTATATATATTTTATATAAAATTTCAGGTGGTATTACGGGTCGAACCTGGTTATATTATAGCATTTATTAATTCAAGGCTTAAGCCTGATTTTCCAATAGGACTTTATGGCTTGAAGCATGTCCTTGTAGAGGGGTTTATAAAGTGGTCATAAGATGTGTAGCACATATAAGGAGAAATCTCTGATTCCACAAATAATATACACTCTATATAAGCATCAACAACCGAGTTGCCAAGCCCGCCTGTTTCTATCTATGCGAACTAGTCTCTCTCTTATAAAACGACTTGAAACTGGACATAGGTCTCTCTTTCTTATGCAGGAAATTCATTTGTCCGAACCGGCCATATCCGTCCACTGTATAATATAACTACGAAAGGTATAATTGGTAAATCACGTTCTAGTATGAAAACTTTTTTTGTTTCTCAATTTATCTTACTCAAACTTGGCATTTATGAACATATATTTATGACATTTATTAACAATAGCCTCTACATGCATGCAAAATCTAATGAACATTGTATCACTATATCATATAGATGGTATAGTAAAGATGGGGCCAATAGTAGGCTCTTAAATGGCAAAATATTCTGTTTTCAAAAATATTTTCATCAAACTCAGCCATATCGAGCGTTTCTACTCTCACTGCAAAAATCATGACCGCTTGCAAAAATTTGAAGTGTATATAATAGATTAATATTATTATATCAATTAATATTGATTGATAACAAATTATTGGATTTCTTATTAGTTATTTATTTTGAAATTATTAACTGTGAAAATTTTGATTTGTGCTTCTTTTCGGCCCCACTGTGCGTGGTGTGGCCACCATGACAACCTGCTCCAAGACCTATAGTTTTTAGTTTTGTAAGAGAAAATTATCTGACGAGCAGCAATTCGTTCCAGGCTTTATATTAGCTACTATAAATAATACCTGTCACGCTTAAAGCCCTCTTCCACTTCGACTTTTGCACAATTGTATTAAGCGAAGAATGCATCTTTGGCAAGAACAATTGCTATAGGCTCTGCTGGCTGAACTATTTTCATGTCTGCTAAATCAGGGTACATATCAGACATTTGGATGGCATTAATATACAAATTGGCTGCTAATTAATTGTGCATTAAAATATCCATAAATGGAATATAAATTTCATGCATAAATTAAGTGCAAAGTGCAGCTGCAGTTGCAGTTGCAGTTGCAGTTGCAGTTGCAGTGTTGTCCCTTCCAGCTGCCCATTGAATTTCAGGAGTTGTCTGAAATATTTAAACGCCCTTACTGAGAATGTTGTCGCACATATTGGGGACACACTGTGCTGGCTAATGCATTATTTAAATCTAGTTAACACTTGCTATTTGTTATTGATTGAAAAAGAAAAAAGGTAGCGGATGGCGCAGTAGCGGGAGCTCGAACAAAAGTGGAAGAACAGCACATAAAAATAATAATAATAAAAGGCGGCCACACTCGACTGACTCGGCTTGGCCACAGGGCACATCATTGAAGCAGTATTGAATAAATTCCATTGCAAGTGGCGGGCCCCAAAAATGATGCCCGGCTTGCCGAGTAGGCATTAAGTCTGACGAGAGGCTGCAAAATATTTCAGTCACGTTTTAAATGTAAAAATCTCAATCACGTGATCGAAATGCGCTCATTCAAAATATGCAGAAGCGAGAGCCAAACAGCCAGACAATACGACAGAGATGGTGCTAGAGAGAGAGTGAGAGAGAGCGAGCGAGAGAGAGAGAGGGGGGGAGAGAGAGAGACTGAATGATGAACACAAGTGCTGAGCTCTTGGCTCAACCTGGTTCTGGGCATTTGGCCAGCTGTAAATCGAAATGTAGCCCGAAAATAAAATGCGGCTGTGGCTCTTAACAGGTACTTGCTGAATCAATGATTCAATGTCGCCAGCATGGCGGAGACACGCCTCATCTAATGATGATGTTGTTATTGTTGTTGTTGTTGTTGCTGCTCTTGTTGCTGCTGTTGTGCCTGTGGCCAGCTGCTCGCAGCCCGTTCACTCAAATTGCATAAAATATGCAAAAAGCTCAACAAACTGCGCGCATCGTTGATTGAAATATCGAAATCAAGAGCAATTTACAACAGCATCGAGTGCACCTGCAATGTACACCAGAAACACACATTTACACACACACACACAAACTCATATACGCAACTGCACCAGAACGCGCTACAATTTCCGTTTCCTCTGCGCACAGCTCGAATAATTTGCACACCTCTGTTTGATTGAAATGTGCGTCAGGTTCTTCGTTTGATTTTCATTTTTTATTCTTTTATTTCACGCAATAATATGTAAATACGAGTGCTTGTTAAATTTGGTTGCCGTCCACCTGATTGCCGGCCCGAGTTTAATTGTCAGTTATTAATCTGCAGCTTAATTGTGGGTGGCTTCATTTGAGCCCGATGTCATCTGGGCCTCGTTTTAAACTCTTTACAATTACCCATAACATATGCGCTTTTGGCAAAGTAATTTGTATTTAATAGCAAGCCGGGGAATACAGTCTAACTAGCCCGCTAACAAACGCGAAGGGTATCGAAGAAAGGCTTATTATTGAGAAAATAGTGAGTGCAAACACATTTTACATTTAAAAGCTGACTACAATCTGAATAAACAAACTTATTTTGAAATCTTAAACTACATTTGAAAAAAGCTTTGAAGTTTTCTTCGAAACGTTTGTTATGTATAGTTGTAAGTAAAAAATGATTTATTTTCAAAAAAAATTAATAAATGTAAAATTATTAAACAATATTTTCACTATATAGAAAATTTGTAAATAATTTTGTTAAAAATATTTAATTCTGAGTGAGTGTTGCTTGTGCATTATATGGAAGTCGGACTGTAGTCTACAAATATATATGGAGTTGCTTTAAAAATTGTACATTTTAGCTGCCACGCCCATAAGGCAGTTGAGCCCTCCCATTAATTTCAGCATAAATGTTGTGGTATTGCGTATACGCAGCGTTGGCAGCCAAAATAAAAATTGTCAATGCATTAAAACACGATTTTAGGGTGTTGGTCAACTAAGCAACGAATGTTAAATGTTAAATGTTAATTTCCCCACAGCAAAGACTGCAACAACAACAACAACAACTTGCCGTGACACTGCAATTTTTAGTTGCATTTATTTGCGCTTCTGTCGGGCTGGCTAAAATGAACATGCAAATGGCCATTTTATTATGGGCATTATATTATTGTGCCCCGAAAAATGTGCTATTGAATGCATTAGTTGTGTGTGTCTGACAGTCTGTCTGCCTGTGTGTGTGTGTGTGTGTCTGTGCGATTGGCAATCAGGTCCCGTTGCGGTTTTGCGCGCCATTCATATGCAAAAACATATATTTTTAGCCAGCAACTGCGACCGGCAACAAAAAATCAATTTGTAAATGTTTTTAGTGCCATTTTGCAACTTTGACATTTCACACGGTTCGCAGCTGTTCTTGTTGTTGTTGCTGTTGTTGTTGTTGTTATTGTTGATGTTGTCTTTCTTTTTTTATTTGATTCCATGTTGCATTGGTCTACAGACAACTGCCAACTGACCCCATTGGCAGCGATGTCCGTTTGTAATTAGCGCTGGCCCGCCCCTTCTGCCACTTGCTACTGCTGCTGCTGCTGCCACTGGTGCCTCTGCCGCTGCTACTGCAGCTATTCGGGGAGTTTTTGACCTCAATTGCTTTGTCACCATTTCAATTTGCAATTTCAGCCATTAACTAGTTACTCGCCAATGCAATTAAACTTGCACTTTTGCAGCCAGATCCTCGCTGAATGGGGCAAGGTGAGAGCAACGCCATGTTGCAAGAAGCGCGACTGTAACTTGGCCGGTCCGCAGCTTGCAACTCGCTCGATTTGTTCGTCTGTCCCCAGTCAGCAGCAGCAGCAGCTCTCATTGGGCTGCCCCGCCCCTCGTCAGACCTTTAGCTGTTTCTGTCATGTTTTCAGCGGTCTGTACAACCGCAAAGTGGTTCTGTTGTTGTTGTGGCGTAGAGTGAAAGTGTGCAGCACTCAACACACCGACACCACCGACACACTCAGTTGTAAGTGCGTTCCATTGGAATAATTTGAAAATGAAAATAAAAAAAAAATTCACTAAAAATTGTATCTTCTCATTGAGTTAATTGCAAATTGGATGAAATTGTAATTTTGCACTTCATTTCATTCAATTCACGGCTGATTGACAATTTAGTTTTTCATTAAGGTGGCCCCAGCGACAGGCGAATTGCTACCACCACTTAGCTCGTGGCAAAGATAACCTGATTGTCGCTCCTTGTGGCATGCAACGTGCAGCTGAAGAATTGGGGGTCTTAAATTTAATATGCCGCGTATACCTTCTATTTGTGTCAGTGGCACGGGCTTGACGATTAAATGATATATATTTCTCTCAATAAATATATGTGTTAATGTTATATGAATCTTGAGTCTGAGCGATCAAGTCGCCGGATAATTAACTATATTGGAACTTTTTATTGCACTATATTTGATGTATTTTATTTTTGAAGGAACTAAATACGGAAAATTAAAAAGAGAAAAATATTATAAAACCCTTTAACAATGCTTCACTTAGTGAATAACATTCTAGGAACTTGTGCCAACTTCTTTTAAAATCAAAAATAAATTATTATTTATAAGAAAAGAAATATGGGAAGAATGAGTGTATAATAAAAATGTTTCAGAAAGGCTCAATTGTTTAATGCTGCCCATTATCCTATTTTACAAAACTTAAAAAAAAAACTTATTTAGGTAAGTTTTTCAAATTTGATATGTTCATATTTAAGTTCTGAGATTCTTTATATTTTATGCGAATCCTTGGCTTTCTTATATTTACTTTCTAAATTATGGTTGCTTTCAAAAGGTAAGCTTATTTGTAGTGTGTTTATCAAATTCAAATATAGCTTTTAGTTCTAATTTATTTTTGAATGTCGGGCGACTCACGCAAGACAGAATCCAAATGTTTTAGCAAGCATCAGAGCTCTTAGCAGCCAACTACATCACATATATACACAAACTATTTATGTATCAATTTTATAAAGTACTATAGTACTGGACGGATCCAAGGGCTTATTATTTTACCAATGAGTGTCACAATATATCAATTAAAAATAAACATACGAATACAATATAATGGATAAATTTGGAAATGTTTAGGCCAGGTCCTCAAACAAGCTAGCTATTAAAGGCCTTGGCTTTGGATTAAAGAGGTCCTTACACTCTCCCTTTGAAACCGATTGCTTGTTTTTATTTACTTAAATTATTCTGCCACATGGCCAACTCATTCACTAAGTACAGCATTTTTTTCAATATATTTTTGAAATACTTTCAATAAAACCTTTAGCTGAATTTAGCGTTTTTTTCTCGTAAATTTATGAGTAGCTTTTATGTTGAAGTGGCTTGTGTCCTGCCGGGCATCAATAATTGACATGTTGCAACCGCGAAAACTTTGGTGCATGTGAATTGCAAATGTTGCGCATACGCCGCGTTGTAATGCACTTGGTTTATGGCGTATGCACAAACAGGAGTCATGAAGCAAACTTAAAGTTATGAATTCTTAAAATATGTGATTTATTTGTAGCGAAACTTTCACACACACACACGTTTGAAGCTGCAACATTTTTTGCTGGTTTTTAGCTGTTGCACCTTTTTTTATGGCGAAAAGTTTGCGTTGTCACGTGACTGGCGTCGAAAATGGGAATATTTATAATAAAAAAGTAGAGAGAGAAGAAGAGAAGAAGAAGTAAATAAGTAGCTGAGCCTGTGAACAGGTAGCTGCAGTGTCTTCACACAGACACGTGTGTCGAAATGTGCCGGAAATGCCATTTACAACAGACTTACTTCCGCTCAAAAGAAGCGCTGTGCATGGAAAGCAGCGTGAAAGAGAAAGAGAGAGCGAGTACTGTAGCATATGCACAAGCGCTAGCTTTTGTTTTAATATTCATATTTTAGCATCAGAAATTATTCGTTGAAATTAAGTTGCTTTATGCACGCACAGCAACGGTGGGGGGCGGGGAGTGCTAGTGGGGGTGCGGCAGGCGGTGTCCTGGTAGAGCAGAGGCGAGCAAAGAAGTGAGCTTAAAAGCGACTACGACGAAAATGCTTTGAATTTAAAATCTGCAATTTTCTGTTGATTGCCGCAGCCAAACCAGGAATACGGCTAGAGTAAAGAGGAGCGGTGAGTGGTGGAGGGGTGGCTAGCAAACGTGCAGTTATAGTGTAACAAACAACAACAAGTATAGTGTTAGCCTGCGTGTCGGTTGGCGGTTGGTAGCATCAGCATCAGCAGCAGTAGCATCAGCATCAGCATCAGCATCATCACAACTTTTGCGTAAAATTCCAGTCATGTGTCCCTAACAAATCCCTGCATTATTCATGAAATGATAAGATGACTTTGTGCTGGCTTCGTTGCCGTCAACGCTGCTGCTGCTGCTGTTTTATTTTTTTCAGTATCTTTTGCAACTGCACGTTATATTTTCACAGCCAGCTGCAGCTGCAGTCGGGGCCGTATTTAACTGGCAACTATCGTTGCCTTAACAACCCGCACTGAAAACAAGCGTAAAACTTACATAAACTAAATTAAATGCAATTTCGTTGACAAAATGTCACTGTTTAAAATGCTGTCAAGTTGTTGTCAAAAGTTGCCTAGCCATAAATATGCTAATAGCCATAAACAGGTAACTGCAAACTATAAACTAATTGACTATTAGCTTATTAACAACAAAAGACTTATCAGTGCAAATAGGGTCCTTTACAGCGCCGGCTGCTGTTCATTTAAATCTGATGCTGCCTAACAGTGCTAGCAGCTGTTAATGTTAACAGCGGCAGCAGGCGCTAACAGTCAGCCACAAAGCTACAAATGAGTGCCTGTTGCTCTCTTGGCGCTCTGTTAAGAGCTCTTTTCTGTTAACCTCTTGCTGTAATGGGCCAACGCGTGGACGAGCGTGCCAGATGCTGAGCATCGCAGCAGCCGCAGCATTACAATTACACGAGCAGGACGCTATCGTCGCTGCTGCAGCATTAACGACAGCTACGAGTACGACGACGTCGATGACGACGATGCCAACTTCGACGACGCCAACTCCGACGACGCCAACGATGAGGCCGACGAGAAGACATGATTCTCGCGCTGCTGCTGCTGCTGCAGCTTCAGTCAGTTCGTAAACTCGAAGCCGTGCGGAGATGCCTTAGAGAGCGCTGCGTCCAGCCTAAATAAAAAAACATTCAAACTGCCAATTAAAAAACAAACCAAAAAACTAATAAATAATTATGATAAATTTACCATAAAAGTTGCATTTATATATAACAGAAATATTGTGAGTGACACTTTAAATAAATGCAAATATAAACTGAAAAAAAACTCACAGCTATAATGAAGTTAAATAGAGGCTAAGCAAATGTGCAGGACAAACTGACTAATTGAGTGCGGCACGGCCGTTTCCGTCGTGCTTCCTAAAAGCGTAAGGGCGTGTGCATTACAGTTAGATTGCCTTGCGGCAGCGGGGGCGTGGCAGACATTCTCAAATATTAAGCACATGACTTCGCTTGAATTCGACATTTAAATTATTTAAGTTGACAAGCGCACACACACGCACACAGACACACCACGCCCAGCTAGCGCCCTTGTTTCCTGTTTTGTTGTCCTCGTTGTTGTGCTTTCACTCGTTTTCCACTTCCCAACTGCCTCGATGCCCTTTGTGCCTTTCCCTTTTCATACAGATGCCACTTACTTATTTTTGCTGCTGCTCGTGTTTTTCTTTATTTGTATTTTTATTTTCCAAATGTTTGTTATTTATTTATAAAACGACAAACACAGCCAAACGGCGAGCACATCCTTTGAACTTTTCTGCATGAGTTTGCAATTGTGTTGATGTCATATACACATATCCATGTTATATATATATACATAAATATATATATGCATATAGATATATGTATTGGTTTAGTAGTGTGTGTTTTTATTTCTCTACAGCTACAGCTGCAGACTCGCCTTTGACACTGCATTCAATTAATTTCATTTTCCATTCAACTCGCCCTCTCTTTCTCTCCCTCGCTTCAGATTCCCTGTCCGTCCCTCTGCACCTCTGCCAGACGTTCCATTATCATTTAACTTGGCTTGAAGCTACTCTGTATTTCCATTTGGCCTTTGTGCCATCGATTGCTATTGAAATATTAAACAATTCAATCGACGGGCAGATACAAAATAATAATAAATAACTAACGCTGACTATGTCACTACGACTTCTGTATATATATATATATAAATATATTTTCTGTACAGTGTGGCCAAGCATAAAGCATAAAATAACAACAAGAACAACAATCGACTGCCGCCCGCAACGCCATATCAATTAATTTTATTCAAACAATTTTCCGAGCAAATACAAAAAATGGATTACGCCTGGCTGCTGTTTATCTTCAGCTGCACTTTAATTGGTAAGTGAATGTTGACTGTTTATTGAATTTAACTCTTTTTTCTCTGTTCTGATTGCAACTTTCACATATTGTAATAAGGGCGGGCGTGCGAGTTAGTGAGCTGCTTAAATCATTTGCTGGCCACGCGGCGTATGCGTAATGCGCCTTGCTGCGTTTGATTGTTTTCATCTCCGCTTGCAATCAGATTATATTAATTTTGTTTTTGTTTACTTTTCTCGTTTTATTTTATTTTTGTTTTGCCTTCAGCTGAACCGCAAATCAATATTGACAAAGTTTTTGCTTCGGGCTCTGCGACTGCTACTGCTACTGCGACTGCGACTGCTACTGCTACTGCTGGCCATCAGGCTTCGTGGCTGGCTGCTCTTTTAATGACTTTTGCCATAATTTCAACTGCTGCGAGTGCAGTTGCACTGCAGTTGCATTTTCCGTTCATTCATTTTCGTTCGCAGTTTTCCTTTGCTTTTTGATGCTGCTGACGCTGCCTTTTGGCACTTGGTAAGTTGTGCAGCCGCAACTTTTGCTTTACTGCAGCAGCAGCTTGAGTGCAGTTTAAACTTAATATTTCGGAAATGTTCGCAATTAGGCAGCTTGCCAAAGGCATCTCCTCCATCGCCTTCTGGCATATAAATTGCCAATGGCAATGGGGCAATTAATTTGCAGCGCATTAAATGAGCTGCCATTTGCCCCAGTGGCAAACCGACACTGCAATTTTCAGACATTCGCGCTGCTGACGCTTCAATACATTTTTTAAATTCGATTTTATTTAGCTGTCGAAAAGATGACGTATCCTAGACATTTATTTTCATGCAATGGATCAGCTATGTTTGTTATGTGGGGAGCTTGCTTATGCGAGATGTAAATAAGTAAATAATTAAGAAACGATATGAGTTTCAGTTGCATTTAACAGAAAATAACACAACACATTCTGCACTGGACATTAAATTAAATGCAAATATTACGCATACGCTGTGTGCTGCATACAAATAGAGAAAAAAACTCAACAGCTTAAATTAAGTCAAATAACGGCTGAACTTTTATTATTTATTTTATTTTTACCTCTATTTTATTAAGATTTTTACTAAGATTATTATAATTATTTAATATGTATAATTATTATTTAATAATTATTATATTTTAGTTTTGATTTCATTCAAATTAGTGGCTTTTCACAATTCTAACAGAAAACCCATGTTAAAAGCTTTTAACTAAGCCATGTTTTTTAAGCTCTTAACTAAGCTTAGCATTAGGATCTAGGGTTTCTTAAATCTTTATTAAGAAAACTAAAGCGACAACATTTTGGCAGAGCATACGAAAACTTTGGTCCTGTGCAAAATGCAGCTGACATATTTCACTTGAAACCGCGCTCGAAGCACATTCGGGGCCATTCATTCAAACGTTTAACAAGGAACGCACATTGCCAGGGACTTTATAAATCGTTTGCCACACACACTCATACAATTTCACGCACACACATGTTGAATTGACACGTTTTCATACCCTGAACCCATTAAAAATGGGTATAAGGGTATATTGTATTTGTGCAAAATCCAAATGTATGTAACAGGCAGAAGGAAGCATCTCCGACCCCATAAAGTATATATATATTCTTGATCAGCGCCAATAGACGAGTCGATCTAGCCATGTCCGTCTGTCTGTCCGTCCGTGCGTCCGTATGTATGAACGCAAGGATCTCAAAACCTATAAGAGCTAGAGAAATTTAAGAAATTTTAGATGTAGATGCTCCTAGTTCCCGCGCAGATCGAGTTTGTTTCCGATAATCGATAACTTACTCCGTTTCCAAGCAATCGATACAAATAGATATCGATATCCTGTTTTTTGGGCAATTTTGGTAAATAATAAGAGCTAGAGTCACCAAACTTGACATATAGCTTATAAAATAGAATATATATACATATGCATTTGATGTTGGAAGAACAGGTTCCCCTAGTCGGGAGCTCCCGACTAGAACCTCTTACTTGTTTAATATATTACACCTAGTTTACAAACGCGCGTTGCGGGCTGTTTTAACTTGGCTAATGGAATTAAATATTTTCCATTCAACTTTAATCTGCATTCAGTTCTCTCGCTCTCTCTCCCCTTCTCGCACTTTATCCCACTCTCCCTCATAAAACATACAATTTACTTGATATATGCATAGCTGCATTATCTCTTGATTTTATTATATGGTAGACTATGCAAATACTATTATTTTTGTTGCATACAAATCGGGAATCTTAACAGTAGAACCGCCTGAATGGGTGCCCATACAAATAACCACATATATATATATATATATATATTTATGTATATATATGTGTGTATTTATATACCTACAGTATATATATGCATATATTTATATTTGCATAAATGTCTCGAGCATCTTTAAATGAATTTATTACCAAACTTGTGCCGGCGCGTCCTTTGCCAAATTCATATGTAAATTTATCTAGCCACACACAGAACTCGCTTGCCTTGAGTTTATGTGTGTGTGTGTGTGTGTGTGTGTGTGTGTGTGTGTGTGTGTGTGTGTGTGTGTGTGTGTGTGTGTGTGTGTGTGTGTGTGTGTGTGTGTGTGTGTGTGTGTGTGTGTGTGTGTGTGTGTGTGTGTGTGTGTAAAGGTAGTAAATGTGCTAGCCAGCATCAAATAAAAAGTGTGGCTTAATTAGCAGCGTATTTGCATATGGTATATTAACATTTGAAGCAGCAGAAAGCACAAGTTTTTGTCTTTTGCTAACATTTTAAATCTACATACATAATTGGCAGTTTTGATAAACGTGGCAAATATTAGAAATGGATAGTAAAATGTATATAAATAAACCAATAGTATCCAGAAAAAGGTTGACAGGCAGCTTCGAACAGTCAGAAAATAATTATAGTTTATTTTTTTACCAATTGGATATCTTTGTAATTAACTGTGCTGCGCTTGGGCCACATAACATATATGTGTAACCAACACACACACTATCACACACACATGCACACACACATAAGTCGAGCTGCTTGACAGTTTTTGGTTCGCATTTCTTATCAATTTTTGCTGCCGCACAGCAACCAGATGTTGCATATGTTGCCGCTTCGCTTATCGCTGGCAGCCCCAGCCCAGCCGCCACATGCCACAAACCGAGACCTATACATATGCTTGTTGCAATGTGGCGCAGTTTGTTGTGCCTATTTTGCATATGCATTGCATGAAATTTTCAAATTTATTCGATGCAACTAGCTAACCTGCCTCCCTTGGTGGCAGCTGCACCTGGTTGGTGGCAACAAAAAATGTTGTGCAGCCCATTGCAATGCAGACACGAAACTTAAATGTTGCTTTGTGGCTGCAGCGCCTGTCCAAATGTTGTTACTTAAAACCAGGGGGGCCGTTAGTCCGGTTCATGGTTCATGGTTCCCTACTCCTTGGTTTCAATCATGAACCTGTCCTTCTAGATTCTAGATTTGGTTAGGCATATTTGCAAGTTTTTTATGCTGCGGGACTATCTCAAATGCTTTTAAGAGTTAACCAAAATATTTTTCGAAAAAAAAAAAGTACTGAAATCTTGGACTCTAACCAGCTTGGTTAGCAATCTTTTCAATATAAATTACAGTCTTAAAGTAAATTAAATTTGATTGTTAATCATAGATTAGAATTAAAAACTCGAAAAACGAATTTTTTAGCTTGATTGAAACTTACATTTCACGCTTCTTTCAAATTCGACAGACATGCAGAAGATTTCAGCGCTTTTCGTTACGGATATCAGCGTGCCGGAGATAGTGGACTTTCGGGACAATGTAACGCTGTCCTGCAGCTACGATATGAGCGGCCACACCTTGAACTCGGTGAAGTGGTACAAGGACCGCCTTGAGTTCTTCAGGTAGACAAGTCGATTATTGTTTCTATGGTGTCAGCTTGGAGCTTATATAATTTCCTTAGATATACGCCGCTGATGCGTCCGGTTTACTTAACATTTCCCGTGGCCGGCATTCAAGTGCTCGATGGCAAGTACTTTTGCAACGAGTCCACGTGCCGCGTGGATCTTAGCCTGCTGGGCGCAAAGTCCACGGGCAACTTCAAGTGCGAGGTGAGCGGGGATGCGCCGCACTTTAAGCTGGCCGCCAAGGAGGACAACATGACGGTCGCAGGTGAGGCAGAAGCACAAACCGTAAACCACTTAACTCATTTGTGGCTAATTTGTCTATCATTTGTTGCATCTACGCAGCCTTGCCGCAAAGTGACCCCCTCATAGAGGGCTTCAACTCGATGTATCGCATGGAGGAGTTTCTCAGTGCCACCTGCTCCTCGGACTACTCCAGTTTGCCCACAAAGCTCACTTGGTATATCAATGGAGAGCAGGTAAGCACATATCCCCCCACAATCACACACGCACACACATACACACAGCGAGTATTAACCCACTGGAATTCTCCTCAATCACAACTCTTTGCAGCCAATGCTGGGGGAGTTGCAGCCAAGCATCGACACGAGCATACCCGCCCACGACTATATACTGCGCCGACAGCGACTCCAAGTGCACTTTTATCTGCAGGGACACCGCTTCTATCTGGTCAGTAAGATACTCGAGCTTAAGTGCGTTGCGGAAATCGAAAACTATCCGGAGCTGCGCCGCGAGACCACGCTCAGTGCATCCGTCACGGAATTTGATAATTTGAACAATCAAATGCTGAGACACGCAATCACAAGTGAGTACATCAATTTATAAACCCACTTATGGCTCAGCTTCTCTTTATATAGTAAGCCCAAATTGTGTTACGCATCTTTTTTATTTCTATAAAAAATGATTAAATCTAAGCATGGGTTGCAAACGAGTCTCTTATGAGGCTTACATCATAATGAAACTTCCACAAAGTGGGATTGTCAGTATTTCCTAATCACAGTTTGAAAGTCACTGGCTTAAAGTTTCAGTTTCAGAATCTCCAGTGGATTAATCAATAAATTATAAAGATTGTGAATACATTTAACAGATTACAAAAAAGAAAGCCATTACAGAACGATATTGAAAATAAATACAATCGTGAATATGTATTAGAATAATATATATCTATTAATGCTAAATGACAATTGATTTTTCTTAAAGATTCGGCTAGGTGTGGCTTTATATCAGAATACTTTATAATACTGAATACAGTTTATTGTAATTAATACAATATATCCTTTCGATTGGTCCTATATATTACTGCAATTTATCATATCTTTTCTGTTTCATCTTGGATGCACTTAGCTTATAACTTATAGATCCGTTCCCATTTCTCTGCATTTATTTACCTTTGTTTCACAGATTCATCTGCTGCAGACTCCAGAAGCTGCCACTGGCAAAGGACTTTCTTAGTTTCGAGTCTTTGTGTGTTAATTCTAGCCACAAAATATTCACAACGCGAATCATGAGCATTCACATCGGTTACGGAATTGCTTCAGGCTTGGTCTCAGGCGACGGAAACTTTGGCAACTATATCAACAAATTAGTTAGGTAGTAAGTAGAGATGTCTAATAAGGATGACCAGCCGAAATGGACTCAAGGTAATGGGCAATTCATATGGCAAGAGCCGGCTATGTGGGCAAACTTATGTTTGTTTGTGCCACTTGTACATAATAAGGGCGGGTCAGTTGTAGGAGGCGTGGAAAGTCAGCATACTAAACACATACACCCTATATATATATTAAAAACAAATATATTAAGTGTGTATTAGAGACAAAATCAGAACAGGAAATGAAGTCATTTAATGCATTAAGGTTGAAGCGCAACTCAAATGAATTCAATTCAATTTGTAAAATTGTTTAATAAATCCAATTTTATTTCAACATTTATTATACATTTTCTATTTGAATAATAGTTATATTTTACTTAAGGCTTCCATTACAAATAATAATCCATATCCCCATATATATATTATTGCCTAACATAAGTTTATATTTAATGCAAGGGCTATGTTCTATTTTTAATGGGTTATTGCTGTTGTTATTTAAGCAAATTGTTGTTTTTTTTACTTATGATGGCATTTATACATATTGACATTTTGGGATCTCCTCGCCGGGTAGCCAAATGTGTTCACTGTCTTTTTTCAAAATCAATTACAAATTACAAATAAGCCTACAACATAATAATATATTAAATAAAAAAACTGCACTCAACAGAAACAACTGAATTATTAAGGTGTTCAATTTGCTTGATAAGGTCACAAAGTTGAGCAAACACGAATTTTTAATGTACATGTAAACATTTTTTAAATCTAATTATAATCAACACAAACCTACACACATTTTTATGCACATGAAACACTTTTCACAAAAACGATTAAATGCAAATTAAAAAAAAATATTAATAATAAAAAAAAAAAAGAATGCAAAACTCCGCATGTAATGTTTTCTGTGGATTATGCATGTGTTGTAAAAATGATTATGAACATAGCGATATGTATAGGCTAGTTAACATAAAAGCTGTAAATACAATTTTAAAACGTTTAAAAAAAAAAACAAAAACAAAAAACCGAGGCAAACGGACTAAAAGTTATAATAATCATGCTGCCATAGCCCCTACAAAATATAGACATAAAAGGACTTAAAGTTTGTGCATGGAATGTACGCACTTTAATAATGCTCGAATAAAAGTATATACATGCAAAAACTCACACAGAAATAAGCGAAACTAACTTCAAAAAAATGTTCATATTAATAAGCTACTAGAAATAGAACTATAAGCCAACCACTATTAATGTACAAGAACAATCCACGTGAAACCAAAAAACTTGTACTGACTGCCAAACTAAAGCGAAAAAAAGTGAACAGCATTGAAATTATTTCAGATCAGATCAAATAGTTTTAACAAAGCATTTACCCGATGGAAGCTAAAAAAAAACTAAATTTAATTTAATTAAATTAAAGACATAAAGAAATGCTTAAATAAAAAAAGAACATTGTAACTAGATATATTAAATTGAAGAGTCAAACAAAATACAAAGTCGGGCACTTGTTAATCACTTTTTGTTATCCAGCAAGCAATTAAAATAAAGCCGAGTGCAAACAAAAAGCGAATAAAAAATTATATACAATATGAGTATTACAATGTGTATAAATTGATTCGCCTATTCATTTGCACATCTTTTGGTTGTGAACTTGTTTTATTTTATTCAAATACAAAATAATAACAAACAAAAAAATAAATAAAAAATAAAAACAAGAAAACTCAATAAAAAATTAAAAATACATTTGTGTGTTGTTTTAATTTTTTTTTTTCGAATATTTCCAGTCACTGACGAAGCCAAACAATTTTGTTAAGGTTTTTTGCCTTTTATTTGTTGCACACAATTAAAATAAATATTTTTTTTAATTTATGTGGTAGCAAAAAAAAGGTACGACTGCTGCGTAACAGTATGGCATATATATTGCGCTAATCTGTGACATTACTGACAGATTAACGAACTTTAATTGCTGCGGTATACAATGCGCTTCTTAATTAGAATTTATGAACTGTGTGTGACTAGTCAGGGTCCGTAACTAGCCAGTAACTAACGTAGTTGGCTCTTTTATTTAAAACAACGATTGCAGCTGTGCCAAGAAAGGCATTAAATTTATATAAATAAAGGGTAAGTAATCGATTAAAAGGGTAAGTAATCGAGAAAGATTAAAAGAAAGAGAAAACTTCTTTTATTGGATAATAATCCTAATTTATTTCTATGGAGTACGCTTTGTAATTATTTTATTTGCGTATCTAAAAGCTGCTGTGGTCAATAATAATTTCAAAGAAAATTCAAATGAAAATGAAAATAAAATAAATATTTCCCCTAACTAAGTATTTATTTGTAATCCGTCTTAGGAAAATAAAAAAATTGCTTAAAAAATAAATGTTATAAAACTTACAGGATTGTTGAACTCTAATGAGCTCATTAATATAAAATTAAAATTTTCAACTAGAAAACTTACGATAGTAAAGAAAAATCAACGATAACTGCCAAACACGGACAGTTGGCACTTGCTTTCGACTTATCATTATTATTGAATGAACTATATTTTTAAAAATTACAGTAATTATTTTTATAGTACAAGCTTACGTATATATGCAGCTAAAAATAATCTGCATTAGTTTTTAAATAGCTCTGACTACTTCTAGTCACACACTAGCCGGGGACTCAAACCCAGAACCTCGTTGTTCTGCTGGGTCCATTATGAAATCCTGGCATTTAGTCTATTGTACATTCAATCTGTCATTGAGTCATAGCCCATTGTCCAGTCTTAACACTTGTAAAGCCCCTGGCTTAAGAGCCCTCCATTAATATTTAAAATGATCTAGAAAAAAACCAAATTGGTTTACTTATTAACTAAATCGCTTTGATAAACTGTTATTAAATTAACCAAATCGTTGTATTGATCTTTTATCCTAGTAGAGAGTCCTTCAGACGTCCGTACAGTTCTCCAGAATGTACTCTGGTTCCTGGATGCTCACAATGAATGTTGTAATTAAGATCGTTTTTAATATAATCAAACTGTTCTGTTCACATCTTAGCCACCTAATTAATGTTGGCTCTGTCTAGCTTCTTTAGTTGCTTCCGAGACAGCTTCACTTCACTTAGACATCTATTATCTACTCCTTGTCCATTTGACAGAAATAGTTTTAGAATAGAATCTGCCAAATACTCAAATGAATGCCACTTTCTAGATGCTGCAAGACTCGTAAGAATTTAATGGCAATTTGACTTCCCCTTTTGGCATTCACCACAGAAAGTCAAGTACTCGGCTAAACTGTGTGCACTTGCACACCTGCTCATGTCCTGCTGATGCTCAGGAGACTTCAGCGAACTCGTTGGTTGGCCATGATGATGAAATGTACTTGGCTAATTTAAAATAATAACTTGTTTAAGTACGTAAATTTGCACAATTAATTATGCTAATAAGGCCGGGGCACCAGCGAGACCGAAGGCCAGACCAAAAAGGCAATGGGCAAAAGCTTAAACAATAAAAAGGGTTAAATAATTAATTTCAATGCCGTTGCAATTAGTTTCCACTACATTTTTCATGAGTTCTGTCCAGCTCGCTTACAAGCCAAGGCAGGATAGGCCAATCCATACAAAAAAACAGAAAGAGGAGCCCAAAAAAGGCGCAGCCCCAAACAAAAAATAAAGTCTATTGAAGAACAAAATGAAGGCGAACAAAGGCCACTTCTGATGGCCACTTAATGAGCCTGAGCCTTGACGCCTAATCAAATTAGCTGGACTTTTGATCAAATATGCGAACATGAAGGAACCTTTGTAAATTACGCATCATTTCGCTGAAGTGTTGTCATATGGTGTGCGCGTAATTTATGTGATTTTAATTAGCAGTATGTCGTCCTGCCACCACCCACCGCACACCGCCCACTCGTGAAGCATAGCTGTCACATTCATGTTGTTCTGCAAGTAATTGAAATTAATTTTGCATTATTATAATTTATTTTACTTTCTTCTTTTTGATTTGGTGTGTGTGTGTGCTTGCCTGCAATTTGTCATGGAATTTTAAACATTTTCAATTAAGTACCGCCCGGATGGTGCACATCAGCTTGAGTTGCGCCGCAGTTGAGAGTCGCCTCTAAGTTGCTAAAAAAAATGCGCCCAAAATAAAGTGAAGTGAATTTTTCGCGCTTTGGCATTTGTCAAAGTTTTGCCAGAGATGCTCCTCAAGTGTCCTTTCGGCAAAGTTCTGGAGCTGCTTCTGCTGCTGCTGCAGCCATTTTCGCCTGTTTGCGTTTCATTAAAATCCATTAAAATGCTGCAAATCAAATTAAAAGTTTCTACTTTTTTCTCAATTCTGTCTGCCAAGCAGTTGGCATCATTGTCAGTGGAGCCTTCATCAACTGCTTTGCTGTGACTTTGTTCCTGGCCCTGGCCAAAGACCGGGTCTCAGTTTGGTTTTCGTTTCTGGTTTAGTTCTGGGTCTTGGTCTTCGTGTTGAGCCTTGGACTCGGCTTGATTTGCATGCGCAACATTTTCAAATGACAATTACAAATCTTTTGCTCACACTTTTTCCACTTATATTCCCCTTGCCAGAAATTACTTTTTAATTTCTTTGCTAATTTGTGGAATTTTTCGTGTTTTCTGATTCAAATAAACTTCTAGTAAATGCACTGCAGTTGGAGCTTCATTAATTGCGGCCTACTGTCAACTACTATCCTGCATAAAGCTCTGATTTGCTGATGACCCATTGACCCATTGACAGCCATGCGGCTACGTGCCCCACAATGACTCATTTGTATGTGGCATACGCAACGGCCTCGATGGCAGACATGTCACGAATCTTAAACAGCAAATCGTTGGCAACTCGCTTGAGCCTTGATGTTGGGCCAGTTTGGTATGCAAACAGTAACAGCCTCCCTTCGACAGATGGAGCACAGTCTTTTACCTCAGTGTCCTTGTGGCAGCAGAGATTTCAATTTTAAGTCCCAGCCTGCTTACCACTTATGTTTCCCAGCCGTTCTCAATATTTATTTCGAGTTACACTCTCTGCGATTGCATTTGTTAAAGAGTATTAGAAGCTAATCACGTTTATCAATGCTAAAACTAAACATGATTTGATATCTAAACTTTTGTTCCATTTACATATTTTTCATTTGCTAAAATAAATTTAGAAGAAAATTAGTTTCCACACTATTTGAAAACTTTTTCAACTTTACCATACCTTAATTTTATTGTATAATCGAAAGTAACTGTTGGCCTTAGCAAGAATACTTACATCTGAAGCGATTCTGAATAACTAATATTTCT